GTTCACTGTACTCTAATTTAAATATTTGTAATTTATACTGAATATGGAATTGTACAGTGGTACCTCAGTATACATCTTTAATCCGTTCCAGGACCTTAGACTTATACCAAACAGGACGTATACCAAACAAATTTTCCCACAAGAAATATAGGGAAAATTATTATTCCATTCCCATGAAAAAAAAAATCCTGTTGTTATTGGCATATTATACATTGATGGGGTTGTGTAAAATAATTTAAACACTGCTTAATACTAAAATATGTAATTTAAGTACTGCTTAATATTAAAATATATATATAAATACAAAAGAATTAGATGAAATAAATGCAAATTTAACCTCGCTTTGCTTTGCTGAAAAGAGTCGAGTGCCTACTAGGATAGTGCTGAAAAGGGAGGAGGAGGAGGAAATGTTATCTTTTGGAAGGAGAGTCCCCTTCTCTTTTCTGTCTCTTTTCCCTATGTGGACCAGGTTGAAGCTCGCCAGGTTTGACTTTTACTAAGTCTGTCCAAAGAACTTTGCATCTGCCTTCTCCTCGGGATGTTTTGGAAATGTGACATTATCTGGTCATTCCAGAGAATGCTATTACGGCTTGTTTGGGCTTTGTTGGGGTGATACTTTTCTGCAAAGTTTTTGATGTCCATCCATTTGGCAAAGATTTCCTTGATTAATGAAGTAGGGGCTTCCTCTGTCTCCTCTTCTGAGCCTGAAGAGAGTGCATCCATCTTTTAGTCTTGTGCTCCTCCTCCTCAAGTTCCTGCAGCTCCTCAGTGGTTAGCTCTTCCCTGTGCCCCTTCACTAACTCCTCCACATCACTGACTCTAGTGGGCAGTTGTGGCTTTGTCTTGAGAGAGAGGTAAATAAGGGTAGCACGCGGTGTCGTGACTCATTTTGACCCATACAGTTCTAGCACGCGAGTTGTACTATTCCAAACGAAGGTCGTATACCAAGCAAAAATTCTTACGTCCAAACAGGACGTATACCAAGTTGGACTTATTCCAAAGTGGATGTATTACGAGTTACCACTGTATATGCTTTTGTGCCCACTGCTTAAAAAAAAAGTGATTCAGTAATGAATTAACCCTTTGAGGGTCGACAGGCCCTCTCCGAGACTTGTTCTCAGGGTCGGCCAAATTTAAAAAAAAAAAAAATTATTTTTTCTTATGAAAAGACAGAGAATCCTTTCCCAATCATAATGACACCAAAAGTATGATTCTTACAAAAAAATAGAAGATTTACTGTTATTCAGACTGCTGTATTAGTGTAGAAATGGTATAAATAATATCAGCGCACTTGTGAAGGAATATTAGACTCACCAGTTGACGTGTATTGGACGCTTGGCATAATTTGTTTACTTTTGAACTTTGGTAAAAATCGAACATTTCTGCTACTTTGAGCTCAATTTCAAGGTACTTTTCATTGTAAAACCAGTCAAAATCATCTCAATTTCTGTGATATGTCTTCCATTCTATAACATGAGACCAAGAAAACTAGAATACAACAATAAATACCATACGAAAATACAGTGCAAAGTCGCTGTTTTATTCCAAAAACACGGTCTAAGTTTTTTTTTTTTCTCATTATGCACTGTGTGCTGCAGGATTTTTTTTATACTGCGCACACTGACCACATAGACCCATTCTTTCATATGTATGCCTACCAGCTTTCTCTCACTAGATTTGAGGGCGCTAGAATTTAGGCGTACTAGTACATTAAAAACCCTGGGTCGTAAGCCGTACTAATACGGCCGAAACCCTCAAAGGGTTAATAATCATGTGGGAATTTGTGAGGTTTTTAAGAACACCAATATCCCCAGATGTGGTGAAGGATGATGTGGAGTTTGAATGTTTTATATTTACATGTTAAAGACATTTATAGATATTTGTCTCAATTGGTAGTAAGAGTAATACATTTAAAATTAAAAGTATGAAATGTTTTTAGCATGTATATATTAAAGTACAGCACTCACTTATATGTTTCTGCAGTGGTTGAGTCTTAGTCCTGGTCCCACCTCTCAACTTGCTGTTTGCCAAATTTACTCCCTCCTAGCCTGGCCTTATTGTACCTGCTCTTAAAGCTATGCATGGAGCCTGGCTCCATTATTTCCTTACAGAGATCATTTCACTTTCCGATCACCCTGAGACTGAAGAAATACTTCCTGACATATGTCTCTTAAGTTGTCTTTCTTGTGATATGGCTGTGAAACAGTTTTGGTTCAGACTTGGCATTAGCTACTGTGTCATTCTCAAATTGTCCTCAGGCTTTCTCCTCACCCTTGTGTATTTATTACTGGCTAATCTGCTTATTTCTGTTTTTATGTCCTTCACTTACTATAGGTTTTCCATACTCTTATGCTTCTTTTTGGCTCTGTGAAGTGTGAAGCTGCAAGTGTATGACATTATTCATACTGTCTAATCTAACTCCTGCTGCCAAAAGAAAGTAAATTGTACATTACCACACTTAAACATTTCATTGGGGAAGGGAAGATTTAAAAATGAGCTTTTTGGCACTTGTTTTGTAAACTTCATCATATTACATGAATTTAGCTTGCATGTGAGCTTTGAAAAATATAATGCATGTGAGTATTTACTGTACATAGGATGATTAAAAATTTTGGTAGTGAATTAGAAAGTTCTTATGTAGCAGCACAGTTGTGCATGGTTATAAGGAAATGGTTTTGTTGATTTTAGTCCATGAATCTTGACCGAACTAACAAGTTGTAGAATCGGTTGTAAAACATGGACAATAGAAATTTAGAGACATAGGAGCCTTGGTAGAGGATATCCTTGGCTTAAAGGCGCTCTAGTACAGATGTTCTGTTGTCAAATGTTATAGATTAGTCCTTTAACCCTTTCAGTGTCAACACCCCTGATCCTTAACTCACTCTGTGTCGAAAAATTTAAAAAAAATTAGTTTTTCTTATGAAATGATAGAGAATCTTTTCCGGGTGATATTTACACATCAGCGGTTTTGCCCATTTTGAGCCATATTTTCAGCCAGTTCCATTGTTCCAGTTAACTAAAATCATAGCAATTTCGCTAGAACTCCATTTGTTCTATTGATTGAGTACAAGAAACTGCCCATTTACCAACTTCAACTACCCAGTAAAGTGGTCAGAAATTGGCGTTTTGGCCAATTTCACACAAATTTCAAAGATGCCAATTTCAAAATAGGGTCCAGAATAAATAAGGCAGACATTCCTGGCACTAAAATAACATTTTCTCTGTTCATTAGTCAACTCTCCAAGCCCCTCTTATATTGCTCTTGCTTTCCATTTTGAATTTTTATTCTCACAGAATACAGATTTACTGTTATGCAAACTACTGCATTATTATAATAATTGTATAAATAATGTCAACTCATTCATGACTGCATATTAGACTAGCCAATTGAACACATACTGGACAGTGATGTCATTTGTGTACTCTTGAACATCAGCAAAAATAGAACATTTCCACTACTTTGAGCTCAATTTCAAGGTACTTTTCATTGTGAGACCAATCAAAATCATCTCCATTTCTGTATTATATCTTCCATTCTATTAAATGAGACCAAAAAAACAAGAATTCAACCATAAATACCATACGAAAATACACCGCAAAGTCGCTGTTTTAAACCAAAAAACACGGTCGGAGTTTTATTTTCTCACACACACAGTGTGACTTTGTCAATGGTCCAAGTCGGACCGAAACGTCGTCGTAAGCTTCTGTCTTTTATGTGCGGGTTATTTGTGTATCGTTCCAGTCACGGTATTGTGCCTTTTTGTTATTTATTTTTATTTTCTCATTATGCACTGCATGCTGCAGAATTTTTTTTTATACTGCGCACACTGACCACGCAGACCCATTCTTTCATATGTAGGCCTACCAGCTTTTTTCCTCCAGATTTGAAGGCTCTATAATTTTGGCGTAGTACTACGGGACTGACACCGGCTCTCAAGCTGTGGTACTACGGGACTGACACTGAAAGGGTTAACTGTGCCAAACCCAAAAATTAAAATTACTGTGTGACAAGATATATTTTTTTCTTACAGATTTAAAGAGTGCATTTTTACAAATCGAATAAGACTAAAATGAGTGGACTCTGATGAATCTTACAATTTATGGTGTTGAAGTTGGTGAAAAATTGATCACTCGTCAGCAGCAGCACTATAAATGTGCCAACAATATTTACATTTTACAATTAATTGGTGCCAAATTATGATTGTTTTTCGTTTTTTTATTGTTATATTTAACACCATGTACTCTAGTTTCTTATATTAGATGTGTTTCAAGGTGTTTCAGTACTTCAAACATGGGGAAATACATGGCCTGATATTGCTCCACATAGAATATACAGTATAAATTAGAGCAATCAGTTTTTTTTTTTTCTGTTTTACTGCTTTGTGTTTTTAAAATTTTGTACAAGGAATATCTGTTAACATTGTTTCAAGGTGTAATATTAGAGGAAACGTGGAAATAAGTGACATTATTTGACTTTAATGGGTTATACTTGGTTAAGTCTACACAGTGTGCTTATTGGCTGAATTCCACTATAATAAATTTGGAATAAGACATTTTCCTTTCAGTTTCACTCTGCTGGTGGAAAGCTAGTGGTGAAACAACAGGTCCTGGTTTCATTGTTTATTTATGCTAGTTGAGCAATGTTATCCCATGTTGCATAGCATGGACCTGCATGGTCTTAGATTTTTTTCAAAGGTGTGTGGGATTGTAGGATACCCAATCAGTTGAGCCAAAGTAAAATATATTGGCCGGTGGCATATTTAAAGGAGCAAAAATTGAGTCATACTAGTACAGCGACATTAAAAGGTTAATAAGATTTTTTTGAAGAGGGGTAATCACAGATGGAAGATTAAAATACTAGAAGTTACTGAGAAATGTCTTGACAAGAGTGAACAAATGGCTGACATTAAAAATAAATCTTCAGTAATAGTTGTTTTATGTAACGGTTATTTTCATTTTTAAAATCTGTAAAATTTCATTTCTGAATGGTACTCTAACAGGTGAAGGAGGACGGCGATCCCGTAGGCGAGTTGATCGAAATGACAGAGACAGACCCTTACCCCCTCTTTTGGCAAGAGTTGGTGGCAACATTGAGGTAAAGAAATTCATTTTTTGATGTTTATTTTTTGTAGTGACATTATTAGAGCTCATCTTAGTGGTGTTTAATCTTTAATAAATTAATCATAAGTGTTAAATTGTTTTAGCACACCTTAACATTTATGATCCAACTTTAGCCATCAACTACTATTTAGGAAGGATCCTAGATGATCCCCAAAATTATTAACAGATACAGAATTGTATTTGTAAATTAGGTTTTGCTTTTGCTACATAATGGAGCTAGTTATTCTTAATTGAAGCTTTTATTTTTTTGTGTGTTTTCACCTTGTTTGTAATGTGATTCACAGCCTACGCACATTGCTATAGAATTATTTTTTTACAAATGTCTTCGAATTCATTTCAGGTTCTTGGTTTCAATGCTCGTCAACGAAAGTCCTTCCTCAATGCTGTCATGCGCTATGGTATGCCACCACAAGAAGCCTTCAATTCTCAGTGGTGGGTATATATGGATATAAGACTTTTTGAATTATTGTTGTGTCATTGTCGGAAACTCCATTAAGGTCAGTTTCCTCTTGAATTGTATAGCACTTATTATTACAGTAGTTGTTTCTTCATAGTTTATGAAAATCACATATCAAAAGTGATTTGGTTAAGACTGTTGAGTCAGGTATGTTTCACAGTATTTGGGATTCTGTACACACATTGGTTCTTCAGTTACATTGATTAATGTAATTGTTAATAAACTAGACAAATGTATATTTTCTAGTAATTTCTGATGTTAAATACAGTGAACCCCCACCTTACGATGGCATCGCGTTACGTTAAATCCGCCATACGATACATTTTAACGCAAAAATTTTACCTCGCCTCATGCTAAAAAAACTCGCCTTACGTGATTCGTCCAGGACGCGTCCCACGTGTGGTCTCAGCGCCATTGTTTACAAGCCAGCCAGTGCGGTCGTATCTACGTATACATTCGGTACATTTCACATTATCCCAGTGTTTTTAGTGCTTGTAACTGCAATATAAGTCACCATGGACCCCAAGAAAGCTTCTAGTGCCATTCCTGTGGTAAAAAGGGTGAGAATTAGTATGGAAATGAAAAAAAGAGATTAAGGAAATGTGTGCAAAGTGGCTTGAAGTGCAAACCTTTATGGATGAAAATCACCCTGACACAGCTATTGCAAGCCGTGCTGGTGACTATTACAATGACAATGTTGTGAACCACTTTAGACAAATCATAAAGGAACGAGAGGTACAGAGCTCAATGGACAGATATGTTGTGCGACAGAGGTCCAGTAACTCTCAAGCTGGTCCTAGTGGCATTAAAAGAAGAAGGGAAGTAACCCCAGAAAAGGACTTGATACCTTAAGTCCTAATGGAAGGGGATTCCCCTTCTAAACAATAACAACTTCCACACTCTCCCCTCCTCCCATCCCATCAATCATCACCAGATCTTCAATAAAGGTAAGTGTCATGTATTATATTCTTAGTAGAGTATCAACTGCGCATGTTTTCTTCAGTTTGTTTGTATTAAAATTAATATTTCATTATTATTATTTTATTAACACACTGGCCGATTCCCATCAAGGCAGGGTGGCCCGAAAAAGAAAAACTTTCACCATCATTTAATATTTCATGTGGTAAAAAAATTTTTTTTCATACTTATGGGTGTCTTACACTGATTAATTTGATTTCCATTATTTCTTATGGGGAAAATTAATTCGCCTTACGATAATTTCGGCATACAATGAGCTTTCAGGAACGGATTAATATCGTAAGACGGGGGTCCACTGTATTATTCTTACACAACTCATTGGTATAAATTACAGTACCCCATCCTTATTTTTTAATCATAGCTAAGGTGATTGTCTGCAATATTGATATACAGCCTCTCCTCACTTAACCCTTTGAGGGTCGACAGGCCCTCTCCGAAACTCGTTCTCAGGGTCGGCCAAATTTAAAAAAAAAAAAAAATTATTTTCTCTTATGAAAAGATAGAGAATCTTTTCCCGATCATAACGACACCAAAAGTTTGAAATTTGATAGAAAACTTACGGAATTATGCTCTCGCAAAGTTAGCGGTCTCGGCGATGTTTACGGATCGGCGATTTTGCCCACTTTGAGCCCCATTTTCGGCCAATTTCACTGTACTAGTCGACAAAAAACATGAATATTTCGCTAGAACTCCATTTTTTCTATAGAATGGGTGCAAGAAACCACCCATTTATAAATTCAACTATCCAGTACAGTGGTCAGAATTTAGCAATTTTGCCAATTTCACACAAATTTCAAAAGATGCCAATTTCGGAATAGGGTCCAGAATAAACAAGAAAGACATTCCTGGCACTAAAATGACATTTCCTCTAGTCATTAGTCACGTCTCACGGCCCCTCTTATATTCTTTTGCTTTCCACTTTGAATTTTTATTCTCACAAAAAATATAAGATTTACTGTTATGCAGACTACTGCATTAGTGTAAAAAATGGTATAAATATTATTGGTGCACTTGTGAAAGAATATTAGACTCACCAGTTGACGTGTATTGCACGCTTGGCACGATTTGTTTACTTTTGAAGTTTGGTAAAAATCGAACATTTCTGCTACTTTGAGCTCAATTTCAAGGCACCTTTCATTGTAAAACCAGTCAAAATCATCTCAATTTCAGTAACATGTCTTCCATTCTATAAAATGAGACCAAGAAAACTAGAATACAACAATAAATACCATACGAAAATACACTGCAAAGTCGCTGATTTATTAAAAAAAAATGGAAAAAGTTTTTTTTTTCTCATTATGCACTGTGTGCTGCAGGATTTTTTTTAGACTGTGCACACTGACCACATAGACCCATTCTTTCATATGAAGGCCTACCAGCTTTCTCCCACTAGATTTGAGGTCGCTAGAATTTATGAGTACTAGTACGTCAAAAACCCCTACGCGTAAGACGTACTAGTACGACGAAAACCCTCAAAGGGTTAACGATGGAGTTCCGTTCCTAAGACCACAACGGTAAACAAATTCATCGCTAAGTGAGGAGCATACTATAATGGTAGTGGGTTTGTGTCAACCATCTTTGATATTGCTTTAATGTCACCTTTGCACCACTTATAACATTTCTGGTAAACTTTTAAATGTTTATACAGTAGTATACTGTATATTGTAATAAACAGAATAGAGGAAATCAGCTCTAATATACATTATTTAGGTATGTATACTGGTCAGAGAGCCCGTCGTAAGTCCAAGTCATCAATAAATGAGTACAGGTCTCCCTCAACATTCGCGGGGGTTAGGGGATCAAGAGCCCCGTGAATGTTGAAAAATCGCGAATGTTTGGTGCCCCAATATATTGCAGGGAAATATAATAAAATAATAAAATGAAATAATCTATGTATATACATGTATATACGTACATGCTCCTCCCACTCATATATTTGTCCAATCTCTTTTTAAAGCTACCCAAGGTCCTATCAAAGCTAAAACCTTGGGTAGCTTCACATTTAGGTTGGATAAATACACAAGTGAGAGGTGGTTGGATTTGAATGGGTCTTGCATGCAAGTAAATAGAATGTTCAAAGCTTATTGCTTGGGTAGCATTTATTCTGTTATTGGGCTGGATTTGTGAAGGACCTGAATAGTATGGGCCAACAGGTCTACTGCAGTGTTCCTCCTTTCTTATGTTCTCATGAACAATCATAAAATACGTACCCGAGAACATCATAAAATATTGTACTGCCTCCACCACTGCCTCGTATTTTTATATAATTTCTTTCTTCAATTCTTTCGTGCTTCTCAGTTTCTTTACCAAAATTTATTTGGGCCCATGGTTAATTTTGTAGCAGTCACAGTCAATCAACAAGCACCAAACACAATGAATTATTGTGAAATGTTTGGAAGAGCGCAGAGGATAATACTCACTCCAGCATAAACAAAGCCATACTGACTGACGATGCCTCTACCACCCACTGCTTCAACCCTCGTATTTATTATTGTTATTATTATTATTATTATTATTATTAGCAGTCATGAATGAGTTGACATTATTTATACTGTAGTTTAATAAATAATGAACAAACAAAACACTCACCAATCGTAAGGCAGACGAACTCTGATGACTTGTGATGATTAAAAAAATTTAAATTATAATTCTTTATTTCTCTATTGATATTACATGCAGTTACTGATGACAGTTGAATGGAGATGATTATATGGAGTGTAACTGCATGGCATGAGACATACTTTCACCACCACACAAACAGCAAGGACCGACTCGCACAGTGGCTGGAGACTGACCGACTGAGTGAGTGAGTGGCGGGTGGGAGGGCTGGCTGCCAGTTATTATTATTATTGTTATTATTAATAACATGTAATATTATTAACATGTATGTATTTAATAACATGTTATAAATAATAATAGTACATATTATTAATAACATGTATGTTATTAAATACCATTGCCTTGCCTCAATCACTGCCTCTACCACTCCAGTCACACTCAATCTACAAGCACCAAACACAATGAATTATTGTGAAATGTTTGGAAGAGCAGGGAGACTAATGTTTACTCCAGCATAAACACAGTCACACTGACGATGTGTCAACCACTCCCTCATATTTTTGTACAATTTCCTTCTTCAATTATATCATATTTATTATTATTATTATTATTACTATTGTTATTATTAGCTGTAGCAGAAATGTTTAATTCTTTGCAGTGTTCAAGAGTAAACACATGATGTCACCATCTAATACCTGTCCAAATAGCCATTCCAATATGCAGTCATGAATGGGTTTACATTATTTATACTGTAGTTTAATAGCAAATAATGAACAAACAAAACACTCACCACACTGAGTGGTGGGAGGGCTGGCTGCCAGTTGCTGGGATCGGAGGGGGGGTAGTAGGGACTCGCAGGTGGCGGGAAACTTAAATATGATTTGGCGGCTGGGAATTTGGTGGCTGGGAATTTGGCGGTTGGGAATTCGCGAATGTGTGAAGCCCGTGAAAGTTGAAAACGTGAATGTTGAGGGAGACCTGTACGTCGCTAAGTGAGGAGAGGCTGTATTTGAAGTTATGTTGTAGTGTGAAATTATTCTTGATTGCTTTCAGGTTGGTACGAGACCTGCGAGGGAAGAGTGAAAAGTGTTTCCGAGCCTATACATCTTTATTCATGCGTCATTTGTGTGAACCGGGCAATGACAATGCAGAAACATTTGCCGATGGTGTACCCCGGGAAGGCTTAAGTCGTCAACATGTTCTTACAAGAATTGGCGTTATGTCTCTCATTCGCAAAAAGGTAATTTCCTTAGTGATATTAATTCTGGTGACTGCAAGTGTGAGCATTACATTGTTACTAAATAATGAAACTTATTTACACCTATTTTGTTTATTAATAAATCTAGTCACTTAGTAAGCAAACTTGGAATTCATATTTGTGTGTGAGATTTGTAAAAGTGGCAGATAGTTTGTTTATTTACTGCATGAGTAACAAGGTGAAGTACAGTAGGGCCCCACTTATACGGCAGGTTAGGTTCCAAGCTACTGCCGGAAAGCAGACTTCACCAGAAAGCAGAACGCCATTTTTTCCACTTATACATGTATATAAATGCCAGATGACAAGTTTACAATAACATATATTGAGTTAGCAGTAGAACTTAGGCATTAAAAAACAATAAAAAGTAAAATACACACACAGTACACTCATTTTTTATCTCAAAATATTCATAGTCTTAATGTAGGGCAGAAGGTGAGTAGCATTTACTATAAGAAGTTAGGTGTGGTAGCCCTCCTGGGCACCCCCACCCACACATAATATACTACGACAATGCTTAAATATATAGGTGGTAGGTTGGTAGACAGCAACCACCCAGGGAGGTACTACCGTTCTGCCAAGTGAGTGTAAAATGAAAGCCTGTAATTGTTTTACATGATGGTAGGATTGCTGGTGTCTTTTGTCGGTCTCATAAATATGCAAGATTACAGGTACATCTTGCTACTACTTCTTACATTTAGGTCACACTACACATACATGTACAAGCATATATATACACACCCCTCTGGGTTTTCTTCTATTTTCTTTCTAGCTCTTGTTCTTGTTTATTTCCTCTTATCTCCATGGGGAAGTGGAACAGAATTCTTCCTCCATAAGCCATGCATGTTGTAAAAGGCAACTAAAATGCCGGGAGCAAGGGGCTAGTAACCTCTTCTCCTGTATATATTACTAAATGTAAAAGGAGAAACTTTCGTTTTTCCTTTTGGGCCACCCGGCCTCGGTGGGATACGGCTGGTGTGCTGAAAGAAGAAAGAATGCTTAAATAGTGATAAATGCATATACAGTACACTCATTACTTACCTTAAAATATTTGTAGTCTTAATGTAGGGTGAAAGGTGAAGAGTATTTATTTGTAGAAAGTGGTGTGGTAGGTAGGGTAGTGGCCAGCCTGGCCATCCCACCCACTGTAAACAAACAGACGATGCTCTGATTGCAGTTCATAAACATTCATACAAGCACCTTACATTGTGTACAAGTTGTCTCCACAGTGATACAGTAAAATAAAAATAAAATACTTACATTCTCATGTAATTTTTAGGAGGAATGATGCTCTGACAAATTATTATTATTATTACAAATTATTAAAAATTATTAATTAAAAATTATTATTGCAAGTTTATTATTATAATATCAAAAAAGAAGCACTAAACCCACAAGGGCCATAAATTTCTATATATAGAGTGAAGGCATATGAAAGGAATATTTATCTACAGTTATCCCCCAGTGTTTGACGAGAGAAAACGTAATTCTTCCGACACTCCTACAGAGCCACTTTGTAAACAAATCTCATATATGTCAATTTTTATTCTGTGGGTGTATGCATAAAGTTTATATGCTATGTAACGTGTTTCTTGTATAATTTTGAAGAAAATATCATAGATGGATTATTGAAAACGTCTTTATTAACGTAAAATAAGACATTTAATGTGCCCAAGAGAGATTATTATATAGTATGTATTACCATATAATAGTATTATAGTATTACTACGGCGTCATGAGTAGAGAGACTCTTAGTGATTTTAATGTGTACCTACACACCAGCACAGTGTGTAAGTATATTTAGGTACAGGTACACATGAGCATAATTATCAGAGTACGTTCATATAAAATACACAATAACTGTAAAACACTTGAAATTTTGGAAAGTTTCCGGACATAATAGCTGTGCTCACAGAGAATGTAAACAAACCAGGTGGGGCGTGCCATATTTGAAAGACCACTTTCTGTATAGCAAATTTTGGTCATAATTTAGAAATCGCCGTATTAGCGGAACGCCGTAAGGGAAAACGGCGTAAAGCGGGGCCTTACTGTACCTTAACTTCCATAGTTGACTGTAGGCCAGTAATTACATTTTATAATTTTCTACAGGTATCAGAATTTGAAACTATCAATGGCCACTACTCCATGCCAGAGGCACTCAATAAACCTATTGAGACTTTACCTGGAGATGGAGGGAAGAGCAATGGTACTTCAGCATCTGGTAAGATATCAGTTTCTTTTTTCTCTTCTCATTTATCCTCCTCTACTACTATTGTACCATTTCTGCATTATCCTTTACTACATCTGTTTGCTATCATTCCCCCTTTCCTCCTCTACTTCCTATTCCTCCTCTACTCCTTATCTTCCTCTTCTACTTGTCTATTTTTTTTTTTTTCCTCCTTTCTCACTCCCTTGCTCTTGCTGTTTCTTCTATTCTCTCCTTTACTCTGATATTACTTTTCTCCTCCTCTATTTCTCTTTCTTCCTCTTCTGCTACTTTTCCTCTTTTTAACCAAGTATGAAGAGCCTTGGCTATTGCCAAGCTATCATTGAAGTATTGGCACACTAAGATAGAACTTTGTTTCGAAAGTAAGGGATTCTGAATTAATGGTACTTGATTGTACTGCACTTCTTTTTCCACATAGTGTTATGTATGGCCCTTCTACAGCTCTCTTCACTCATTTCTTGATTTGTTTAAGCAAACCCCTACCAGTTATTTACTTTATTGCAAAGATATGAAGCTTCTCGTTTAAATATTTTAGGCATTACAGCCACTTCTGATTTGTTCTGGAGATTTGAGTATATGATCTGTGTTTGCCTTCAAACCGTTAGGAATTCTCTCTGGTTTAAAAGATACTACGCTAAAATTTTGTTTATCCTTATTCAATTTGATGGAGGGTTATTAATGTTGATGAAAGGCTCTTAATCTAAACAATTGGATCTGTACTTTCCTTCCTTGGATCAAACTTGAATGCCTCCCATTTTCCCTTGGTGCTTTGTGGCCCCTATTGGCTTAGGACACCTTTCACAAATATTATAATATTTGGGAAGCTTTGTTTCCTACCAAATTTCTTGGTGTAACTTGAAGAAAAGCATATTACCCCATCAATTCATCAGTCCTTGCATCAAATTGTAGATCATTAATTTCTTTCTACAGTACAAATTTGTAAATAATTTTCTTCTGCTTTTTGATTACATTGTTCTTGCTTTGAGTATGATGTAAATTGCATACCATTTCATCACATAGTTATACAATACTTGCATCACAATATACAATATACAATAATTGAAAAAATGCAATTCTTTCTCATTTCTTTCCACAGTCATTCTGTGTAATAAGTTACCATAAGTTACCACCATGTCTTGTTTGACAGCCATCAAATCATTCCAGAGATATACTTTTAGTTAACATTAACAGATGTACTTAGTTCCACTGCCAAAGGATTAATGATTAGGCAGTTTTATCTTTGCTGTGACCCAGACTATGAAGCAGAATTATATATTTTGTAGCACCTCTATTTGAGAACTATTTTTCTATGAACCAAGTATTGTTTTATATATGTAGGTACTCCAGCAACAAGTGTAACACCCTCTCCTGCTCCATCAATTAAGGGTGAGGTTGAGGAGAAAGATGATGATAAGAAAGATGATAAGTTGGAAGAAAAAGATAAAACAGAAGAAAAGGAGAGTGAAAAGTTGGAGGGAACAGATAAGGATGAAAAGAAAGAGGAACAGACTTCTGATGTAGAAAAGGTAAGTTTTGATGCTTAGTCTCACTCTTGATGTGAACAACCCCCTATGCTGCTATTCTCTATATACATGTCTCATGCACTGCAATACAAAGAGGACTATAATTTTTTTTTTTTTTATTATTATCACACTGGCCGATTCCCACCAAGGCAGGGTGGCCCGAAAAAGAAAAACTTTCACCATCATTCACTCCATCACTGTCTTGCCAGAAGGGTGCTTTACACTACAGTTTTTAAACTGCAACATTAACACCCCTCCTTCAGAGTGCAGGCACTGTACTTCCCATCTCCAGGACTCAAGTCCGGCCTGCCGGTTTCCCTGAACCCCTTCATAAATGTTTCTTTGCTCACACTCCAACAGCACGTCAAGTATTAAAAACCATTTGTCTCCATTCACTCCTATCAAACACGCTCATGCATGCCTGCTGGAAGTCCAAGCCCCTCGCACACAAAACCTCCTTTACCCCCTCTCTCCAACCTTTCCTAGGCCGACCCCTACCCCGCCTTCCTTCCACTACAGACTGATACACTCTTGAAGTCATTCTGTTTCGCTCCATTCTCTCTACATGTCCGAACCACCTCAACAACCCTTCCTCAGCCCTCTGGACAACAGTTTTGGTAATCCCGCACCTCCTCCTAACTTCCAAACTACGAATTCTCTGCATTATATTCACACCACACATTGCCCTCAGACATGACATCTCCACTGCCTCCATCCTTCTCCTCGCTGCAACATTCATCACCCATGCTTCACACCCATATAAGAGCGTTGGTAAAACTATACTCTCATACATTCCCCTCTTTGCCTCCAAGGACAAAGTTCTTTGTCTCCACAGACTCCTAAGTGCACCACTCACTCTTTTCCCCTCATCAATTCTATGATTCACCTCATCTTTCATAGACCCATCCGCTGACACGTCCACTCCCAAATATCTGAATACATTCACCTCCTCCATACTCTCTCCCTCCAATCTGATATTCAATCTTTCATCACCTAATCTTTTTGTTATCCTCATAACCTTACTCTTTCCTGTATTCACCTTTAATTTTCTTCTTTTGCACACCCTACCAAATTCATCCACCAATCTCTGCAACTTCTCTTCAGAATCTCCCAAGAGCACAGTGTCATCAGCAAAGAGCAGCTGTGACAACTCCCACTTTGTGTGTGATTCTTTATCTTTTAACTCCACGCCTCTTGCCAAAACCCTCGCATTTACTTCTCTTACAACCCCATCTATAAATATATTAAACAACCACGGTGACATCACACATCCTTGTCTAAGGCCTACTTTTAGTGGGAAATAATCTCCCTCTTTCCTACATACTCTAACTTGAGCCTCACTATCCTCGTAAAAACTCTTCACTGCTTTCAGTAACCTACCTCCTACACCATACACTTGCAACATCTGCCACATTGCCCCCCTATCCACCCTGTCATACGCCTTTTCCAAATCCATAAATGCCACAAAGACCTCTTTAGCCTTATCTAAATACTGTTCACTTATATGTTTCACTGTAAACACCTGGTCCACACACCCCCTACCTTTCCTAAAGCCTCCTTGTTCATCTGCTATCCTATTCTCCGTCTTACTCTTAATTCTTTCAATAATAACTCTACCATACACTTTACCAGGTATACTCAGCAGACTTATCCCCCTATAATTTTTGCACTCTCTTTTATCCCCTTTGCCTTTATACAAAGGAACTATGCATGCTCTCTGCCAATCCCTAGGTACCTTACCCTCTTCCATACCCTCTTGCAGTCATCAAGAGATAAGGTGGGGGATGTAGGTGTGTAGCTTTACTTGTAAATAATTAAACCTTTTGTTATACATTCATGTAATTCACCTATTACAATTCTTTACAGAAAGAGGAAGAAAATGAAGTGCCTGAAAAGAAGGAAGAAGAGGCAGAAGAAAAGAAAGATACAGAAGAAACAGAAGAGGTTGACAAGCCAGATGAGGAAAAGAAAGAGGAAGGCGAGAAGATGGAAGTAGACAATAAAGATGAAGAAAAGAAAGAAGAGAAGACAGAAGAAGTAACAGTAGATGGGGAAGAAACTAAAGAAGTTAAGGCTGTTGAAGAGAAGTCTGATGATGATGTGGTCAGTAATATTGCCTTCTGTCTCTATTCTGTATTTCTTAAAAGTAGGGAGGAGGGAAAAGTAGTTTGACCATAAACTGTCCAAACAGATCTACGTTCACATGCGTAGTGCTCCAAAAGTAGATCTACGTTTTTTAACATATTTTCAAATATAACAAAAAAAAAAAAAAAATTGTAGATCAAAGATTTTTTTCACGTTTACAATTTTTTTTTTTTTTTTTTTTTTTTTTTCAACAAGTCGGTCGTCTCCCACCGAGGCAGGGTGACCCAAAAAAAGAAAGAAAATCCCAAAAAGAAAATACTTTCATCATCATTCAACACTTTCACCACACTCACACATTATCACTGCTTTTGCAGAGGTGCCCAGAATACAACAGTTTAGAAGCATATACGTATAAAGATACACAACAAATGTAAAAAAAAAAAGAAAAGCTCTACGTTTTTTTACATACTTTCAAATGTTGAAAAAACGTAGATCTACGTTTGGACAGTTTAAGGGTTAAGAAAGGAGAAATTGGGGGGGAGGAGAGTTCCTCGGTCTAATCAGTCTACAGGTACTCACCTATGTGTTAAAGGGTCAAGTCCCAGCTCCTGGCCCCACCTATGCACTTGCTGTATGTATTACCACTGCTCTACCAACACAGAAATCCAATGTAAAATTTTATATTCAGTACAGATATTTAAAATCCTTCCTACCTGTTTAATTTTAAATTTATTCATTAACTAATATTAGGCCTTTCTAATAATAAAATCTTTGCAGGTTACAGGAAAAACTGAAAAGGAAGAAAAGAAAGATGGAGACAAGGAATCTGGAAAAGATGATGACAAAGAGAAAGATGATGATAAAGAAAAGGATGGTGACAAGGATGAAGATAAGAAAGATGGGACTAAAAAGAAGGAAATTGAGCCTATCTCTAAGAGAAAGTTTATGTTCAACATTGCTGATGGTGGCTTTACAGAACTACATACCTTGTGGCAAAATGAAGAAAAAGCAGCCGTACCTGGCCGTGAATGTGAAATCTGGCACCGCAGGTAATGTAAGAATAAATTAATGGGAGGAATTTGATTATCTGTCATCTTAATCTACATGTTATGTTATGCTGGGGACCCATAGCCTTGGGTGAAAATAAGGGGTCTTAAGGCTGTTGATAATGTATGATTTTGCTGGATACAGATTGATTTAAGATTATATTATTTACACATTGATAAGTTTGTCAGTAAAACCTTATTAATGGACCTATCATTAATGGATTTCAGCAATTTGATAAAAAAAAAGTTTGCAAACTAACATTGGAAGTATCTGACAAATTGGAAAAAGTTTGTAATTCTGGATTTTGTCCATTAGCATGTTTTTTAATTATGAAGACTTGAATATTTTTTAAATTTGTTAATTTTTACTGTATGTATTCATATTTTGTGTATGTTCCTTCTGTGCATTTAGAAAGAGCTGACATTTATTTGATTGTCTTGTTGAAGCATCACTTATACACAGCTTTCCTAATATGACTCCTATACCTGGCTTTGTCTCTGTAGATGCCCTCCTTTCTCATTACATCTTCCAATGCTCCAAATTTAAAAACACTTGTGATGAGTGATGAAGGACCTGCCTAGTATGGGCCAGTGGGCCTCCTTCAGTGTTGCTGCTTTATGTTCTTGTTCTTTACTTGATCTTTATCTCCTGTCTACCTTTTCTAATTTTCTATATTTTTTTTGCCTTTCCCGTCTTCTGCCTAGGTGGGTTTTGTCCCGCTGAGATTTGGTCCTACCCTCATGGGCCATTAGCTCTCCTTCAGTGCTTTTCTCTTCTCTTTCTCTTAGAAGGCCTCAACTGTTCTGCTACTACTATTATATTCTCTTAAGTCCCCACCCTTTACCACCTTTATTTTTATTACCACTATTACTTTCTTATTGCCACCTTCACCACTGTTGCATTACTTTTTCTTCTACTGCTATCACCACCACCACTTCCATCACTACTATTACTACCACTCTAATACTGTTATTCCCTTCTCTCGTTACACTGCTCCTGTCCCTCCCCCCTTGTATATATTCTGGCTCCCTTTCCTTTGCACCTCTGTGTAACTAATTAATCGTCCAAGTCAGACCAAAACGTTATCATAAGTGTGTCTCCTATATGTACATTATTTGTGTATTGTATTTTGTGTCCAGTAGTGTTTCCAAAGCCAACCAACCATGGAAAATAAATTTTATACTTCATAAACAACGGACATTCGGCAATAATGTTCACTCCTCCATGTTACTCTGTTTATTAGAGGGTTCATGCATTTATAATTTACACATTTCATCTAGCTTCTCAGAGGCTGTGTTTTTCTGGAATCCTTTGCTTTCCAAATGAGATTGTTTCCTAAATAATTAAAAAATTTACAAAAAAAAAAAAAAAAATCTTCTTTCAGACATGATTATTGGCTGCTCGCAGGCATTGTAACTCATGGGTATGGGCGCTGGCAAGATATTCAAAATGATATTCGGTTTGCCATCATCAATGAACCATTCAAGATGGATGTAGGCAAAGGAAACTTCTTAGAAATCAAGAACAAATTTCTGGCAAGAAGATTTAAGGTAAACTTATGATTTCTTTAAGGATAGTATGTACATTCATCCTCTATGTTTAAAAAAAAAATGTAAATTTATTGGATTTTACAATCACTAATTTATTAATGTCTCAGTTACATATTTGTTTTGGCAGGATTAGCTTTTTGTTATGTGAGTTCACTTGTCTAAAAGCTGCTGCAGTGTCATTGTTTAGATTAGTTTATACACAAATAACTCAAACATAGTGACTGTAAATGGTCCAAGTTGGAAACGTCGTTGAAAGATCCTCTCTCCTACATGCGGGTTGTGTATTGTTCCAGTCACAACACTGTGTCTTTTTGTTCTTTTTCATGGTTTATACCATTTTACCACTTATCCTATAAGAATGTCATTTTTAACCCTACTCTCTTGCTATTAAGTATTTCATCTCTGGCAAGATTACCAGTAATGAACAAAAAATCAATATAACATGGCTCAAACAATTGAAAGTTAACCCACAAATTTGAAATAACTCTTAGATGATGATTCTCTCTATCCTGGCCATTATTGAGTTGCTAGTGAGGTAAAAAGAGAGGGAAGGTGGGTCAGAAGTCTGGTCAGGGCATAAGGAGATGATTCAGTCAAAGTTAGGTTAAGTTACATGTGTTCTGATAATCAGAGTCACTGATACTTTTATACTGGGTGAGGCAAGCAGCTACAGAATCAAAACTTAGGCTAAAATTAATTATCTAGGGTCTAGTTCAGCAAGAGGATTGCTATGGAGACTCAAGTGGGCTAATAATTATTTGAAGAGGGCAGGTTTTTGGTATAACTTTTGTACTTAATTTGACAAAAAAGGGGTTGTTAGTGTTAGCAAGGTGAGTATTTATTTACTCTAAAGTCTGCTGATAAATGGGTAACAATGTAGAAATAATGTACTGTTTGGAAGATAAAGATAGGTAAGCATATAGTATATGGCTAGAACCAAGTGTATAAAAGTGGATTTTTGGAAGTAAACCAGCAGTATCCATACTTATTTTCAATGTATTTAACAAAAGTATCTAATACAGTGGAACCTCAGTTTTCGTGACTAATTCGTTCCAGAAAGTCTAACGAATACCAAATTTTACGAAAACTGAAGCAATATTTTCCGTAAGAAATCATGTAAATCCAATTAATCCGTTACAGATACCCAAAAATATTAATAAATAATACATTTTATAGAGAATAACTGTAGTTTTACACACAGAAAACAATGAGAAATAAACATAAATGACTAATGAAATGGATAAATGAACATTTAACATCACTTTTACCTTTATTGAAGACTCTTGTTGGCGTATGGAAGACGGCGAGGAGGGGAGAGGGAGAAGGAGAGATTATTTTTTTGTAACGGATATCCCCCTCCATTGTCACGTGAGGGTATCAAAATGTGGATTGGGTAATAACACTCGTGTAGGATGTAAGTACGTATATTGGACGGAATATATGGGAAGCACCAAGCCTGACCTGCGTCTCTCCTGTCTATCCTTCAACTGACTCTCAGTGCCTAGAGGGTGAGCGGTATACAAATCGTGCTAGGTCAGCTGTAACAGAGATTAACGGTCAGTGATTCATGCAGGAGCAGAGGATCAGTAACAGTCGGTGTATGAGTCATTACTACTGACACTAGTAACTGGTTACTGGTAACTGATACTACTGAGAGCTCGGCGACACTAACGTATGGCGTCCCGACATACAGCTAATACAAACTAGAGGCGACAGGCATACGGCTAGGGGCTGATTCTGTACAATGTCAAAGTACACAACAATTGAACATTATAACATATATCAGGAGAAAATCGAAATGGAAGCTAACGTAACTTACTGTAATGCATTACAAGGTATGATATATTGCAACTCATAGAATGAGACTCAATATTGGGATTATACAGTAAGTGATAAAAAAAAAGTTGATCGATTGATCTGTATTCATGTGATCTGTGGATTCTGAAGAAGGAATACATACAAAGAAAGAAGTGTTTAATAGAAAGGTGCACTTGGTGCACTCAAATCTAGACTGTTAAAGCTCAGAATTCAGAGAGAACGTGAGCACAAAAAAAAAAAAAAAATTAGAATATTAATAAGTTGATATTGTAGCAGACAATAGAAATACATTGTAAACTGTGTTATTCATCTATACATTTTATTTACATTTAACCCCAACTTGCTAGGGTGAGATTTACATATGCAGAATGGGTATCATCTCTGGGAGGATCAAACTCTGTTGCACTGGTGAACTCATGCTGTGGTTGAGGCAGATCTGAATTGGTAATTACAAATGATATTTGCAGGTTTCTAATACTTGTTGTGTATGTAGGGAATAACAACATTCAGGTCAATCATTTGACTGAGTATTAGAGGTAGAGGGAACAGTCAGGAGGATTGTCAGTCTGTCACATGAGTCTGGGTTGGAACATCATTATCATCACATACTAACTTCATATGATCTAAATGCGATTCTTTATACTGACCAGTACTAATTTCTCTAATTTATACTTTTTTTTTTTTTTCAACAAGTCGGCCATCTCCCACCGAGGCAGGGTGATCCAAAAAGAAAGAAAATCCCCAAAAAGAAAATACTTTCATCATCATTCAACACTTTCACCTCACTCACACATAATCACTGTTTTTGCAGAGGTGCCCAGAATACAACAGTTTAGAAGTATATACGTATAAAAATACACAATATATCCCTCCATTCTGGGCACCTCTGCAAAAACAATGATTATGTGTGAATGAGGTGAAAGTGTTGAATGATGATGAAAGTATTTTCTTTTTGGGGATTTTCTTTCTCTCCAAACTTCCACTATCTCAAACCCCTCCTTTAGAGTGCAAGCATTGTACTTCCCATTTCCAGGACTCAAGTCCAGTTATATAAAATAACCAGGTTCCCTGAATCCCTTCACTAAATATTACCCTGCTCACATTCCAACAGCTCGTCAGGTCCCAAATACCATTCATCTCCATTCACTCCTATCTAACACGCTCACGCACACTTGCTGGAAGTCCAAACCCACCCACAACACCTACTTTACCCCCCTCCCTCCAACCTTTTCGAGGATGACCCCTACCCCGCCTTCCTTCCTCTACAGATTTATACACTCTTCATTCATTCTACTTTGATCCATTCTCTCTAAATGACCAAAGCACCTCAACAAACCCTCTTCAGCCCTCTGACTAATACTTTTATTAACTCCACACCTTCTCCTAATTTCCACACTCCAAATTTTCTGCATAATATTTACACCACACATTGCCCCTAGACAGGACATCACTGCCTCAACCGCCTCCTCGCTGCAGCATTTACAACCCATGCTTCACACCCATATTAGAGTGTTGGTATTACTATGCTTTCATACATTTCCTTCTTTGCCTCCATAGATAACATTTTTTGCCTCCACATATACCTCATTGCCATTAACCCTTTGAGGGTTTTGGTCGTACTAGTACGTCTTACGTGTAGGGGTTTTTGATGTACTAGTACGCATAAATTCTAGCGGCCTCAAATCTAGTGGGAGAAAGCTGGTAGGCCTTCATATGAAAGAATGGGTCTATGTGGTCAGTGTGCACAGTCTGAAAAAAATCCTGCAGCACACAGTGCATAATGAGAAAAAAAAAACTTTGACCATTTTTTTGGAATAAAACAGCGACTTTGCAGTGTATTTTCGTATGGTATTTATTGTTGTATTCTAGTTTTCTTGGTCTCATTTTATAGAATGGAAGACATATTACAGAAATTGAGATGATTTTGACTGGCTTTACAATGAAAGGTGCCTTGAAATTGAGCTCAAAGTAGCAGAAATGTTCGATTTTTACCAAACTTCAAAAGTAAACAAATCGTGCCAAGCGTGCAATACACGTCAACTGGTGAGTCTAATATTCTTTCACAAGTGCACCAATAATATTTATACCATTTTTTACACTAATGCAGTAGTCTGCATAACAGTAAATCTTATATTTTTTGTGAGAATAAAAATTCAAAGTGGAAAGCAAAAGAATATAAGAGGGGCCTTGAGACGTGACTAATGACTAGAGGAAATGTCATTTTAGTGCCAGGAATGTCTTTCTTGTTTATTCTGGACCCTATTCGGAAATTGGCATCTTTTGAAATTTGTGTGAAATTGGCAAAATTGCTAAATTCTGACCACTGTACTGGTTAGTTGAATTTCATAAATGGGTGGTTTCTTGCACCCATTCGATAGAAAAAATGGAGTTCTAGCGAAATATTCATGTTTTTTGTCAACTAGTACAGTGAAATTGGCCAAAAATGGGGCTCAAAGTGGGCAAAATCGCCGATGCGTAAACATCGCCGAGACCGCTAACTTTGCGAGAGCATAATTCCATAAGTTTTCTATCAAATTTCAAACTTTTGGTGTCTTTATGATCGGGAAAAGATTCTCTATCTTTTCATAAGAGAAAATAATTTTTTTTTTTTTTTAAATTTGGCTGACCCTGAGAACGAGTTTCGGAGAGGGCCTGTCGACCCTCAAAGGGTTAATATGTTCAACTACTTGATAAGGACCAACAAACTTTTGATCACGCTTAGCCATTGCAGATGTTTTGTTAAAGTTAGTCAGTATAACTCTTGAACCTACTTTGATTTTGGTCGGCTTTTCTCGAGTATTAATTATTTATTTTTTTATTATCACACTGGCCGATTCCCACCAAGGCAGGGTGGCCCGATTTATGAAGATGATTTATGAAGTGTTTCACGGATTCTTCTAAAAACACTTTGAGCTAAGCTGGTACGAGTTCCTATGAAATCATCAGGCTTATAATTTTGTTTTGGGCTAGAATATAACAACTCGTAAGGCAAACGCTTATCTACACTGTACAATGCATAATGTGGAGTGTCACCTATAGAAATATTGTAAGCAGAATTTATGGCATACTGAACATTAGGTATAACTTCATCCCAGGTTTCATTGTTAGGATTGATAGTGGCTCTCAAAACATCAAGTATGTTCTTATTGGTTCATTCTGCTAACCCATTGCTGGCAGGATGG